ATCTCAAAATTTTGTCTATGAAACCACCTTTTGGACTCTAACAAAAAAAATTCCTTGCGCAATTTTACTTTAGGTTTGTTTAACCCCAACATCAAGATCTCACCCTTACCCTAATATTAAAAAATAACAAATTTTTACTTTAAAAAATCGATTTACATATACGATCTGATAATTACATATGACATAGTGCCATGACACTATAGTGCCGCAAAAGTATTTCCTTTTAAAAAAGTAAAACAAACTATATATATTAGAAAACAAATTAATTTTTAAAGAAGTTATTAAACAAGAATGGTGAAACTATCTTCAACGACTTTGGAAAATTCTTATTATATTTAAAAAAATAATCATGCAGAAGCAGGAAGTCAATGTAATTTATATAAGCAAGGCTGTGGATTACATTTATTTACAATTCTATCACATACAAAGTTTTATCAGCGGTTTGTACTAATAGGCTCTGATGCTTTGTATTAAGTACTTTCAAAAACAAATTTTTGTGGATTAGAAAAGTATTTAATCTGATTTTAGTGAAAATATTAAAGAATGGTGAAGAATGATATTTTGAATTGAAAAGGTTATAACAACACAACAACGATTTGGACTTAATATTATAACAGATGAAATGAGTATTAGTGCAAATTTAAAAAAAAAAAAATAAAAGAAGGTATAAATGCTTACGGATTTGATCAGAAAAGTAATTTTCATCCTTTAGATATTAGAGATGATGATTGTATAGTTGGTTTGGATTCAGGCCGGTGAGATTTATTTGTAGCTGTAACTGAAAAAAAATGTAAAATTAATTGCTTAACTAAAGAATGGCATTTATTAGCTGGTCATATGTATGCAAGAAAAAAAAGAGAAGTTTGGATTAAGGGCAATAATTCAATTGAAACTATTTTACATAGTAAGTATTTTAATTTTTAGTTTTACTAGAAATCTATTACTTTTAACGATTCATTTAAAAATAGATATTCCAACACCATCATGTTCTTCTATCACTTCCTATAACAATTACCTTGTATATGTTCTTCTATCACTTCCTATAACAATTATCTTGTATATGTTCTTCTATCACTTCCTATAACAATTACCTTGTATATGTTTTTCTATCACTTCCTATAACAATTACCTTGTATATGTTCTTCAACATATGCGTACCCTTATTGAATTCTATGGTGCAAGATGTTGGCTTTGTATGCGATGGAAGTCATACGTTAACCGTAATAAGGCATACAACAAGCTCTGTGAGAGGATCACCAATAAAAATCCAAGAATGATAGTTGCTTACGGAGATGGGAAGTTTTCAAGTTGCTCTAAAGGGCATGTATCTGGACCAATTAAAGGTCTATACAAAGAGTTGAAGCGAAGATTGGGGAGAAGAGTTCGATTTGTAGATGAGTACCGAACAAGTATTATATGTTCAACGTGTTATGGACGAATGGATAAACAGTCACGATTCTGGTCGCTTAAAGTATGCAAGAACATATGTTTAGTAAGTCTCATTTTATTTAATTAAATTAGTAAATTTCCGAGATTTTTTTTAGCATGCTTTCTTTTCAGACCCTCTGGAACCGTGACACAAATGCTGCCCGTAACATCCGCCGCCTATTAGAAGAATTTCACCGATCTGAAGATAGAGACCGATATGAAGGAGCCGTTCGCCGTAGTTACTTCGGGAATAAGTCGGATGCATAGGGTTGGAACGGCCTGATGACTGCATACCGCGTCTGTAAAGTTGTAGCTAGCTGGAATCTCCAGTGTGTTCGGACACTTTTTTTGAGTACCGTAATAGTAAGTAAATTAACTGGTCTGACTGCATTGCATCACTTATGCTCCGGACTTACAACGATTCTCGTTTTTCTAGTAATACTCTATTTTAATTTTTATTTTTATTTTTTTTTATTGAATTATAAAAATAGTTTTCAGTTTTTTTTGTAATCACATAAATTTGAAAAGTAATTATAAGTTTTATTTTGATGTATCGATCTTAGATTGCAAATAATTTATCTGCACTGATCAAGTTTATTAAAAATTATTTAATTATAAGCAGATGTCGGATGATATTGAGCAAAAAATACTGAAGCGATCGAATTAGAAATAATATTTTATAAAAAAACATTATTTATTTTGTTTCATTATAGTAAGCGGTTTTAGTTGTTTCTGCAATGATAATTATGAAAAAACATTGTATCTTCAAAAAATTATTGTGTATTTTACATTTCATAAATATTTTTTCCAAAAAAATAAAATTTGTAAGTCGCTTATCGTTATATTAAGATATCTATACTAAGTAAGTTGTTACAAATAAGCATGTAACATGTTATGATTAGATACGTCCTTATTATAATTTGATTATATTAAAGGATCTGGTCATTGACCCAAATGTTGCTCAATCTTTTTTTTTTTTTACGATTCCAGATGAGTTATAGGTAATTACTGTGGCAGATTAAAATGAAATCAGATTAAAATGAAATGAAAGATAGTGTAAAATAGACAAGCCACCGAAAAATACAACTTTTTAGGATGCATTTTTTTAGCTTTTTTTTAGAGTTAGGATTAGGATTTAGAAGCAGATTTTATAATAAACAAGTATAAATGGGTTTTAGGGGCTCAAATAGAAACCCTTCATTTCATTTTAATCCGATTTCATTATGATCTGCGACAATTACTACGTGGGTATTAGAATCTAATAAGTGCTTGAAGCATATATGGGTGCCATAATAACCCAAATATGAATTTTCAGGTGATTTTATTATGAAAATTTTTGTTATATAAACTCTGTACATAACCGATTTGGGTGGCTATGTTTGGTTCTTCTGAAAAACCTGATCAGCTACAGCTACTTATTATGCGTTATGTATAATAGATTTTTCATGAATCTGGAACGAAAAAAAGTCCCGATGACTTGACGGAACTCATATGTCACCTGGTTCAGAAGTTTGTGGAATAGACAATTAAAGTACAAGTCGTGTCACCACGTGACAAATGATCGAAACTTGCAGAACACATGTAAAAAATTTCATGTGAGAAATCACGATCTGATCATGTTTTTGTCAGATTTAAACATAAGCCTTGCAATCAATCGATCTTCGGAGAACTAAGCCCAACACAACTTGTCTTAAAAAACACTTTAATAAACCAATAAGAAAAGAAAGGGCAAAATGAAGTTTTGGGATTCGACTGGATATGGCGATCAAGGAACAATGGACGAGAGTAGTCCTTTTGACGGTTTGTTCAAATTGTCAAGGATGGAACGTCTTTATGCTTTTGGAATTTGGTAGGAACACTATTTGCGTAATGCATGTGTCCATAGCTTGCAATTGACTAATTCGCTTTTAATTGTTGAATAGCTTTCTCATTGGCTGTGCTATTAGCATACTTGTTAGCAATATATATTTTATATAAGCACAATAAATTTATTAAAACAATATGTATTGACCATTTATATATTACTTTACACGCAGTCAACTTTGATGTTAATAAGTCTTAACCTGCCCGGGTTCGCTATTTTATACACTCTTGGTAATATCATATCACTTCTAAGGTATGAAAAAGAATCAAGTTATTTCTTTTTAGTCAAAGGAATTATCTAATGAATTCATTTTAGTACTGGGTTCCTTGTTGGCTTCAAAAAACAAGCAAAGACAATGTTTGCACCAGGTATTCTCAAATGTTTTTACAATTACATAAAATTACAATTATTTAATTTTAACAAAGTTAATTAATTTCACACAATTTATATAAAGTTCGCTGGATTGCTAGTACTGTTTTTTTCGCATCAATGGTAGCTACGTTGGTTGTGGCATTCACGGTATGTATTATCTCGTATTCCCTTTATGACCTCTTCATTATTTGATTCTAATAACAGTATGCATATTAACTCTTTAAATTTTAAATTTGTGTTTTTAATAGCTACAAAGCTTTATTCTTTGTATTATCATGTGCATCGTTCAATTTTTAGCTCTATTTTGGTATTGGTATGTTGATAGTTTTTTCTTTCAGATATATTAATATTATTTATCCGTTATTATTGCTAATATCCAATCTATATTATTTAGCGCAAGTTATATACCTTATGGCCGGTAAGATTTATAATTTTGACGAAAATCATTAATCTATGTATATAATTATTAAATCAATTTTTAATTCATTCAGATCCATCATTAAGAAAGTATGTGGCAGTTGTGTTGATAGTATTGTATAATGGCGATATGGTATTCGTTATTCTGGAGTAACGTCAATCAATACCTTGAATTGGCAGTATACATAATGTAGTTTAATTCTTCATACGTAATGTCCTCTTTTGCACATAATTATTCCACGCGAAAACAATTCATATCGATTCTGAATGTCATATAACACATTACCAAAGTATATAACCAATATCGATGTTATATTTTCTATTTTGAGCAAAATCGCATGTTAATTCACACATCTTTTATTTAAATGAATGATTTTTTTTTTTCTTGATACAAGAAATCAAATTACTCTCAGAAGAATCTATTTAGCATCTGCATTGGTTAACAAACTATTACTTTTTAAGCATAATAGTTTATTAGAAAAAAAGGCCTGAACTTATCTTTTTTTTTTTTGTAATAAATTTTTATTGTATATGTAATCTTTTTTTTTGATATATAAATTTTATTAATTATTTAATCATAACAAAAATTTATAAAATACGTTATAAATGTTTGTTATATAAAATGTTTTGAAAATACAAGAATTTTAGTATTATACTACATATAATGATTGAAAAATAATTGAAAATTGATTCTGAAGATAATATGTATTTTATATTTGAATTTGCTAAAAGTATAGTATCTCATACGTACGTACGTATATAAATATATCAATATATTATATGATATTTATTTTTACAGTCAACCTCTCTATAATCACACTCTATATAGTCATTTACTGTATTTATAATCACTCTAATTTTTATATACGTAAAACATAAAATTTAGCCCATATAAGGTGAAGTAGGGTATTCTGCGTACACTTATTTGCGCCGGTGATACAAACCAAATAAGGAAATTTTCTTATGAAGATCGCAAGATCAGGTGTAAC